AAAGTTGGGTAACAGATACAGAAACTCCACCCTGTGAAAACGCTTCCTGAAGATAAAAGCGCCTCTGGGAGAGACACGGAAGCTTGTGCTCCTTCACCCCCGCAAAAAAAATGGGGGGAGTCCGAATCCAGGGCTGGCTAAAAAACAGCAGCAGTAGCAACAAAACACAGAAAAAGTGGGTGACAGACTCTGGAAGCTCTTCCTCCTCAGAACTCCACGGAGTCAATCGGCGAAGAAAGTCCCTTTGTTGGATAGTCACCAAAACAACGGATTGTGGCTAAGTAGTCCTGAGGGGAGATCGTCCTTGATGGAGGGGTCCAGGCCGCCTCCCAGTCGGTCGAAATTCATACCAAATAGGATCCTCCCGAGCCACCGGGTCAGTCACACAACCTACAATTAATACCGCCTCGCGCCCAAGGGATCCCATTTTCCGAGAAGCCTCCCCAAATCCGATCCCAGCCACCGTTTACCACCCAGTCTGAGGCCTACATCCAGACGCTCCACGCCACACGCCAACCCCAGGCCTCAGAGTGCGGGCCCGTCTACCGGCACCGCAGCTCGGCCTCGACTTCAAACCAACCAAAAGGATACCAGCACCACGGCTTCAGCTGCTTCTTCTTCTTGCGACCCATAACTGCGCTCTACCGATCAAAAAAAACAAAGAGAAAAACAGGGAAAACGAGGAGAATATCGCTCACTTTTCAGACCCAACGGACACCACCGCGTCCCACAGGAAACAGACACAAAATGGCCGACGGCCTCGTTCGCTGCTCTGACTCCCGTCAGGCACTGGGGCGGGGGGCGGAGCCAGTATAAGGGTCACATGACGCAGACCTCCGCCCTAAGTGGGTGGAGATTCGCGGCCACCAAGAGGTGGTGGCCATCTTGTCGGTTGGATCTGTGTCTTCTCTTCCTGGCTGAGTTCGCCGATCTGTATGGTTTGTTTTGTGAGGTAGCCAGGGACCTGAGTGCGCCAAGGCACAAGCGAGTTGAAAAACAAACAAAACCTCTGAAAAAACTAGTATAATTAAGAAAAAATTACAAATAAACTGAGGCAGCGCCCAGTTTTTAATTTTGTTCGTTGTCCGGATGAATCTCTTCCTTGCTGTTATGTGACTACTACGTGTTAAGTCGGAGAAGCCACAATCTCTACCGCGTAACTCGCAGATCAGCGGCCGAGGAGTGAACCGCTCAGGGTAGTCAGCGTGGCCACTGGGGGAGGCTGCGAAGCGCTGCCGGACCTCAGGAGGGGAATCCCGACCGTCCTGTGGTCTCTGGAGACGTCGAGAACTGCGCGGCGCCTCTTGTCTGCGATAGCAGCGCTCCGGGAGGCGGAGGCAGGAGGTGTCCCTGAACTCAAGAGACCAGCCTGAGCCCGAGGGAGACCTTGTCTCTACCAGAAAATATTAGCCAGGCGTTGTGCGAATGCCCGTAGTTCCCATTACTCAGGAGGCTGAGGCGGGAGGATCACTTGACCCCAGGGAGTTTGTTAGACTGACGCCATCGCACTCTAGCCCGGGCAACCGTGAGACTTTGCCTCAAAAAAAAAA